AGTGGCATGGCTGCAAAGTCTAAGTCCGATTCAGTCTGAGCAGGGTGAAAAAAAGGAATTGCGCTGCCATTCCTATTGCGAACTAAGGAGTCCAATTGAATGAACCTAATGACCTGTATCTCTATGTCCCTGAGGCCGAAGGGAGGTCCAGGATGGAAATCAGGTGGTTGGGGAAGCGTATCCGAAAGCGTTGTGTCAAAGCTTGGAAGTAACAACTGTGCGATATGTTGTGGAGAAGTGGCTGGCGGAGTGTGGAGTTCCGATAATTTCCGCTCTTTGGTGTGTCAAAACACACAACAATTTGTGCTGTCCTATTTCTGATTGATGTTTATAGATGGGAATGGGACAGCCAGGGAACTTCTGGCGGCTTCTAATTTCATGAATGCAGGCGAATCAGTGGCAGAAGATAAATGCCACTGGCGATGCGCCCAGTCCCTGCTATGGGCACACCATGGGCTGGAGCAGCGATGCGGGTCTGTATGTGTTTGGAGGGAGGCAGTTGTTTGTCGACGGTGGCGTGGCTGCAAAGTGCAAGTCCGAGCAGGATGCAAATGAATTGCGCTGCCATTCCTATTGGGAACTGAGGGAGCGGCGACCATAACGACCTCCATCTCTATGTCCATGAGGCCGAAGGGAGGTCCAAAATGGAAGTAGGGTGGTTGGGGAAGTTGATCCAAAAGAGTTGTGTCAGGAAGTGACAAACCGTTCAATAGGACTCTTCTAGGTTTGGGCACCGCATCCTCGGTTGCAAATCCCAAAACCACAGGCGAATCACTGGCAGAAAATAAACGCAACTGGCGATGTGCCCAGCCCTCGCTATGGGCACACCATGGCCTGGAGCAGCGCTGCGGGAGGTCTATATGTGTTTGGAGGGTTGAGCGGCGGCATCGTGGCGGCATTTCATGCAAGTCCGAAGAATTCTATGAGGGATGGCCTCCAACCTATCAGCAATAGCCTCCAACCTAATAGCGATAGCCTCCAACCTAACATGTTGAGTGGAATTGCGTTGTCATTTTGGGAGCTGAGGCTATCTGAATGACCTGTATCTCTACGTCCATGAGGCCGAAGCTAAATCGGAAGAAGGGGAGCTGCGACAAGGTCCGAAAGTGTCACAACTTAGAAGTGACCAACTGTTGACGTGTTTCACGTTAATGTCCATTGGCCATAGGGGAAGGTCACTGTGACTTTGTGTGTTTCTTGTGATATACTGCTTGCAAGGAAAGGGTTTCCAGGCTTTTCTAGATCAACGCGTGCATAGATCAAGGGCAATTTGCTCACCCAAGTGCGCGACCGGACATCTTCATTGTTGCTATGTAGATGTTGCGACCCTGTGCCTCGATTTTTCAAGCAAAACGGTTCAGAGGGTTACTCGTAGGGTGAAAACACAGCTGTGGATAGATGTGGTGTAGTGTTTTCCTCGCGGGCTGAGCCCTTCATTCGGAAAAAATCCGCTGGTCTGAGTCTGTGCTGGAAGGGTTCCGGCATCAGTTTCTTGGGGCTCGGGTGTGTTGTGCTCTTGTTGAACGTAGTGAGGGTAGAAAGGTGGGAGCAAAACGGAGAACAAATCGATAAAGGTGAAGACAAATTTGGTGCAAGCTGAGAGAAAGCAGAAGCTTCCCTGTTTGCTTCGGGCCTCTCCACGTTGTTGGTTAGATGATTTGCCTTAGATGTCGGAAAGCCACGCCATAGCATCAGGCGATGTTCTTATTTGTTTAACTTGGACTCGGTGTCATAAGCTTGGCCCTGGAGAATGACACGGCAACTTCCAGTTGGACCATCTGGCCCGGAAGTAGCAAGCAACATCCGCATATTTTTGACCTTCTTCCTGAATGTGCATGCATGTCTTTCACGAAGTCAGCTTGCTCTCTTGGTGGATCCTCATCTCCTGACCGCAGGCAAATCAGTGGCAGAAGATCAATGCCCTTGGCGATGTGCCCACCCCTCGCTTTCGGCACACCATGGTCTGGAGTGGCGCGGAAGCGGGAGGTCTGTATCTGTTTGGAGGGTGGAACCTCCGCGACGTGGCTGCACAGTGGTCCAAGCAGGATGCTGATTCAATGCCAGCTGCCAGCTAGAATTGTGTTGCCATTGGTCTTGGGAGCCTAAGGAGAGGATTATCTCAATGACTTGTATCTTTACATCCATGAGGCAGATGGACAAGTGGTTGTGGAAGTTCATACGAACGCATGGTGTCACGCGACTAGCTTAGGCTTATAGGGTCTGGACAGCATGTTTCATGTCGCAGTCATTGGACAGAGACTTTGTGCTTGTTTAGAATCAGTGCAACGTTTAGGTAGTAAACATGGGAGTTACATTTAGTATGCCAGATGGGGCGTGGAACCAAGCACTTCATGCAGTGCTGCCGTGCAAATGTTCGATGATTTTATGTTATTGACACCAATTCCAATCAATTGGTGCCAGCAAAGCAAATCATCCCGTCACGGAAAACTGACCCACATTGTTTTGTGCCACTGCTCCTGCAGCTCTCCTTAACCCTTTAGTTTCTGTCATTTAAAGCAATGAGGCGAGTGGATATTCATGGATCTTGCGTCGCCTTGCGCAGGGTTGGGTATGATCGGGGTAGCTAGATTTCCAAGCTGTGACAGGCGGCCCCTCGCTCCTCCGCTGTTTTTGGGGGTCCGAGCTCGGTCGCCGCTGTGTGTTCGACTCCGTGCCCAAGAATGGGACACATGAGTGCGTCAATTCAGGCTTGGTGTCACATGTGTTGCATCTAGTATGTGGCACACGGTGTGGCGGCGAAACAAAACATGCATCGCTGTGCCATGTGGATTTGGGAGCCCTTGCTGGAAAGTGTGTTTGCGTGGCTACGCGCCCTTGGGGAACAGGGAAGCAAGCTCATCAACTCGCGCAACTCAACTCACACCACTCAAGTCACGGAACTCAACACACACACACACACATCCACGCGCGCCAACACACACACACACGCAACTCAACTTGCACACCTCAACTCCCCCGTCAGAACTCACCAACTCAACGCACTCAACTTAACTCAAAACTCAACCCACTCAACTCAGCCCACAGGGGGCAACCGCTGCTCCCGATGCATCAATCTTGATGTAGACATGGTTTCATCATCACCATCATCTTCTTTTGAACCAACGCCACTCCCGATGTGTTTCGTTGATTGCGCCGCATCCTTGTCGATTGGCATTGAACCTCTGAAATCCCTCTGTAAACATCCGTTCGGACACATTTTTTCGCATTTTGGCACCCAGACGCTCGGCTTCTTGAGAGCGCAGTGCCCAAACAAGATTTTGTCATTTGTCAAAGGTTCATTGTCTGCCTTTAAGCTGCCGTGACGCACCAACCAAGCGTGAATGACCACGCCATGAGACCTCCAAACGCCGTTGCTTGACGTGTGTGACGCCGCTGTTGGAAGTTGGGCCTGCTGGCCATCCCGAGCGTTTGGTGGATGGCGTGCTGGCGACTGAGGGTCTTGGTGGCGCTGGCGATGTACACCGTGTTTTCCCTTGATGGCTTACTGTGCGGACCCCAGAAACCAACCAAGTCAAAAACTGATAGCAACGCCCGTATCCTGGTCGGAAGAACGTCTCCTACGATTTGCACGTGTCTTTCGGTGTGGATACTGAAGTTCATCAGTATGCCTCTTGGCAATCAACGCGCCCGCCACACCCCTTTGTATCAACTGGCGCTCGGCTTCCTGCTTGGCAGATTAACATCCACTACGTAAACGCACATTGTTTCTGAGACTTCCTTCCACCCGGCCCCTCCTCTCTGTTTTTTTTCTCAGAGCCCCGACCTCGTGTTCGCGGCGTTGTTGGACCCAATGGTCCTGCGGTTCAACTTGTTGAAAGCTCGAAGTTCATTTTGGCTGGCAGTCAGTAAAATACCTTCGCACACATACACAGCCAAACTAGTGCAACCTGAATTGGAAGCAGGATTTCAGGGTAGCCGCCCTACGGTTGGTTTCTCAGCTTGTTGGCTGCCACGCCTGCCAATGCTTAGAGAATTAATCACCAAAGGTAGCCTGGTGAGGGCTACCTTGAGTTTGCTTTGCGAAGCAAAGGGGTAGCTTCAACAGCCTGCTCGGGACCAAAGATTGGTGTACCAATTCTTGGACCCCCCCCTCCCCACCCTTCCATAGTGATTAATCAATGATTTGGGTGGGGCCCTCCCGTTCG